GAATTTCTGAACTAGCGGATCTTGAATGACTAATGGTTGAACGTCCTTGTTGAACGGCAGGTCTTGGATTCTGACTACAAGACTGCTGCTGGTCATGTTGAACTCCTTGTCAATGGCTTCCATCTCCTTTCTCAGGATATCAACCTGCTTGATGGTGAATGGTTCAAAAAGGTCCTCCAAGAGGTACACCTCGTTGTCAAGCGGTTTCACCTGCAAGTGTCGTAAGATGATGTGCGCAAGATCCTGACAGAACTGGTAAGGATACAGCTGTGCCAGTTTGGTTCTGCTTCCGAAGGAACCAGCGTTTCCCTCTAGGGGTTGGTGTTCATGCTTGACTGTGCTGGAAAATTTTTACACCTTCTGAAGATCGGTCTCATAACCTCGGAAGGTAAGCAGTGCATCAAGCTCGTGGGCTTGAGACTTCTGAGCCCGGATTCAGGATCTTTTAGTCCGTATGCATAGAAATGGAAATCTCCCCAGGTCACGGATGGGTCTGAAAACAATTGCTGCATGCATTTCAGATACCATATCCTGGATGTTTGAGGATTTTCGAGAATGAAGTATCTTCTGTGCTTCAACTGATAACGCGCCACAAATTCAACCATGGGAAGGTAGCGTCTCCGCTTTTCCCCCACCTTTTGCTGGTCTTGCTGGATGTTCTGCATATTTGACCATGGTCCACAGACCGGTGCCATAAGGATGACATCAGGTGCTTGTTCCCTGATGATCTCCATGACCATGTGTCGTCCCTTGGATGTCATTACATCGAATCCTGTGCGGATGTCCACGGGAGTCCCAACCTTAAGACCTGACAGTGCACAGCATTGACTGAATCTGGCACTTCCTGCAAAGATCTCGAGAACGTGGATCTTTCCCTTACGAGGCTTTGAACTCATTCGGAGATTTTGAGCAAGGTCTCGTCGGATGTCCTCGGATTGACGTGCTTCTTGGAAAGCTTGCTTTGACAGCTGCTTGATCTGGATGGCTGTCATCTCCTCTTCATTCCTGTCAATCGTCAACTGAGTTGGAGTTGCGACATCGAGTTGGATGAGATCTGCTGGTCGTCTTCCGAATGCGAGCTCCAATGGTGTTACTCCCCCGTAGGTGACGGTCTGATTCCTGACAGTTGCAGCGGCCTTCACCAGTTGCCTATAGGTCACTTTCTTCAGTGTTGCAGGTGCAGTGCCTGCTTTGATGGAACAGTTGTGCCTTCAAGAGTCGAACTGCTGCTTCAGCTCGATTTGGCCATGGTGTATTTGGTCCCAAAGATATTGGAGTGATGTCAAGGGACTGACAGAAATGTTCCCATGTATCTGTCATGAAGGCTTGATCTGCGACAACTGATTTGGGCTGCAAGTGGTACTGGTCAAAATAGTTCCTGAGGACAGTGATGTTCTCGACTTCTTGCGTAGTTGTCACTGCCTCTGCAGTGAGCAATGTTGTTGCTCCATCCAGGATGACAAAAACAATGATGTGTTCTCCAGTTCCAAGAGGAACTTGACAGTGATCAATGAATGTCATGTCACCAAAGGTGTCCGCTCGACATCCGCTTGTCTTGCTTCGTGATGGTGCATGTTTCGCCACTTGGCAAACTTTACACTCACTTCGGATCTTGTCAAATAGATCGAATGTTGATTTCGGCAAATGAAGTGCTCGGGTTCTAAATCGAAATTGATCTGTGGTCATGTGATGATGCTGCAGGTGGAGTTTCTTCAACTCTTCTGGATTTGACAATCGCTTGTGGATTCTGCCTAGGGCAAGCGGAAGGGATGTTGGTTCTCCTGAGGATGGTGCGAGAGGATCTGGCTCAATAGTCGACTGGCCCCTCTTGTCGATGATCCTGTCTGCTGCCGATCCTGAACCTGCTTCTACGTCCTTCAGCGAATTGTCCGAGAAGGTGAAAATGGTCTTACCTATCCACAGGTTAATCATCGGTTTATTTGCCTGGGATGTAAGTCTCCAATTGTCTGCCAAGATATCTGGATCTCCACCTGCGGATGCATCAATGATTTCCGTGGTACGTTCTCGGCTGATGTGATCAGGATTGATTGGACATTCCTTGGCTCCATTTGGTGTGAACAGCGCCTTTCGGGGCGTGATGTGCACACGGATGAGCTGCTTGTTCTTCTTGTCAAGGATCCAATGGTCCTGCTTTTGAGACCCAATGATCTTAGGAGTTGCTAGGTCCTCCTTTGTCTCGGATGATTTTGCTGCACAAACAGTTTCGCTCCTGGTGAGATCCCCGGAGGGAAACTTGATGCTGTTATCATCGTCATAGACATAGTTGATGAGGCCCTTGTGAGCAATTTCTCCATGTGCCTTCACTCTTGCAACTCCAGCAAGATCGACGAGTGCATGTCCTGTACCGGATACTGGAACTGCTTGACGGTTCATGCCAAAGGCCTTGCATGTGATCTTGTCACATTGAGGTGTGTGCTCGATGGTCATGTAGAGGTTCCGCATCTGGCTGATGCTGAGAAGGATCGGTACAGTTCCTTGTTCAAGGACGTCGATGTTTGTACTGCAAGGAGGAGTTGTGTGATATCGAAGATGCAGGGTCCAATTTACCCTGGCGGTCTCTCCGTTTGCAAAAGTGAACTTGGTCTCGGCCGGGATGTACTCGTAGGAGATGATGTCCTTCATTGGTTCGATTGCCTGGGTAAAACGCTGGATTGCATGCCAGCTGCCCATAGATCTGGTACATCCGTTGTCCAGAATCGCATAGGTCGGGTTGTGCTGAGGGTTGATGACAGGCGCCATCAGCTTTGTTGCCAAAAGGCTGTGATTTGTTGTGACGGACAGATTGTGTTCTGAAACTGCATCTGATTGGATCAGCTTCTCGTGGATGACCTTTTTCCCAGGATACTCATATGCATCATGGAATGCCATTAACGCTTGTCCTGTGCTGGATGTCTCATGGGATGAGTACCAGCCATGTTCGTTCCATGTCCATGATTGATCCCAATCTTGGTCTGTCCAACCGGCATAGGTAGGCTCTATGGATGGTGCAGTCTGCTGGATGGCGGGCTGCTCCTCCGTCTTTTCTGCGGTGGCTGCGAACGTCTTGGATTTTCCTTTTTTGTCCGCTCTTTCCTTTGCCACTCTCATAGGATGGATAACCTTTGTTTCCATCATAGGGATATTGGAATTTTGATTTTCCTTTCTTTCCCTTCTTTCCCCGCCTTTTCCCCAATATGCCTGGTCGTAGGGATCATAGTTTTCGTTGGCCATATTGGCCTTTCCGCCAGAACCGCTTTTTCTGAAGGGTTTGAAGCCACCTCGTTGGGGACTGCCCTTCTTGTTTCCTGATTTTCCTTTTCCGTTTCTCTTCTTGAACTTGAAGTTCCGCCCCGACACTTTTCTTGCTATGAACGCATCGTTCTCCTCGAGGACCCAGAACGTCTCTTCATCGTTGTTTGACATGAATCCTTCAAGTCCTTCTTCATCCTCAACCCAGAAGCCTTCTTCTCCTTCGTATTCACCTTGTTCGATGATGAAGAATGTGTTGCTTCGGCTGCCTCCTTGAGGTCGGATGGATGGATCTTGGATCGATGTCCTCGTTGTGATGAAGAGTTCATGGTAGTGTGTCTTCAGCATCTCATAGGAATAATTCTCGAGTGAGATGTTCCTCAATGACATTGCACTTGTGAGTCGTTCTCTTTGTTGATCTGACAACTCACTTTGTATGATGAAAAACTGTGCAATGAGATTATCCCCGAAGGGAAATGCGTCCCGCTGTCTGTCCTGCATTCCTTGGATATATTGTCTGAGGACTGTAGGATCGTCCTCATTGAGCAGGGCTGGAGGCGGTGCTCGAGCACCGGCTGCTTGCTGATGTCGAGCAATTGTTCTTGCATTTGCGTCCTGTACGGACTGTCGAAATGATGGAGACTGTGCCGTAAAGATTGGCATCAAGTCCATCCATGCTGCCTTCAATCTCATGAGAAGGATTTCGAATTTTGAGGTAAAAATGAGGAACTCTTGGTTCTGCCTTCTGTGGTTGAAGAAACTGAGGAGTCTGTACAGATACACGTTGGTCGCACCTTTCAAAAAGTACTTCTTCAGCGTGTTCTTGAAATAGTTGACTCCTTCATCAGGATCTTGCAAGAGGTCATTTTGGAGGACGGCCTTGTACATGTAAGCATCTCCAGTGAGTCTGCTCTTAAGCAATGGACCTCGCTTGGCTGCTTCTACTGTGGTGATGGTCACCCAGTCGTCCACGAGTTCTTCATACCTGAACCAGCTGACGTTTCCGTCGTACGATGGCGGCTGCTTGGCGGTCATCGATAAATTTAATGTTTCCTCCGTATAGCTCGGCTTTGCCGAACTTGTACAGACTTCCATGAAGCCTTCTCCATCTGATGACATCTTCCCTTGGATCTCTGCGGAAAACCTGCTCCGCTACCACAAATTGAGGCCCACTGCCCCAGGTGCCTATCCCCGGAGGGAACTGGAACCCTGTAATAGTTGAGGTCGTTGTTGTTCCCTGGATCTATTCCGGAGAGAGTCCAATATGCCAGTAATGGATGATTGGGGGATGGATTGTCCCTGGTGGATTGTCTTGTGGATAATCCTGTAAGCGGCCTGCAATGGCTCTTTTGTCCTCACGCTCGGATGGTCGTGATTATGCAAAAGGGGCCTTGAGCCAAATGTTGCGGGAGATCAATGGTCTGAAAAACAGAACACAGGGGGGAGGGGGGACCACCACCGGGGGGGGGTTCGGGTTTTGGGGGGCGACGCTCCTCTTACTGTTTCGGCTGGGGAGGGGTTCGGGTGTCGGGGGGGGGGATTGGGGGGGGTGCGTTCGGGTTTCGGGGGGGCGACACCACCACTTACTGTTTAGGTTGGGAGATCGTTTTCGCGCACCGGCGTGGGGCGCGGGCAAACGTAGGGTGCTGAGCGAACAAGTATAGTCAGCAAACGGCACCCCAAAACCCCTCTGAAAGGACACGCTCAACAGGATACCCCAAAACAATGCCTTAGATAAGTTGATGGGCCAGGATGAGGAGATCACGCACCCCATTGCGCGGGCGCTGTACCTGCCGGGCCGGAAGCGACACCTGGAGGAATGAATGGGACAAAGGCGACTCTCCACCAAAATCAACAGAAGGAAGTCCGACCAAACCTTCACCAATAACATCCCTTGTTGCCATGCACGTTTAGAGGTAACCAAGCTTTTGCAAAGGGACAACATGGCCCATCTGGGATCAGACCCCTTTTTGAGGCTGCATATTGATTTTCAGGAGAGTTGTGGGGGGGCTTCGCAAAGCTCGAAATCGGCCCCCCTCCAGCCCATTCAGCAGAGGGTGTCCGGTCTGTGCGGGCAGAAAAGGTGCAGACGGTTGAGCTGTCAGCTTGGGGGGCCGCGCAGGTTGTGGCTGTCTCCACCCCCTTTCCCGCAAACATGCGGCGTCGCTTCCCAAAGCCGGTCTTTGTTTGGGCTGTTTTGGGTCCTAGTCTTGTTCGAGTTTTGGTCATGAAGATCAAGGAAGGCTTTGCTGCATCCCTTGGACATGACTTTGCCTGGGGCGCAGGCCAGAATGAAAGCTTGTTGAGCTCACTGTTTCACCGGGAGGATGAGCGCGGCAACGGCTCAACCCGCTTGTTCCGCGCTCAAATGTACAGTTGCGTTATATGCTGTCAGAAAGCTTAGACAGCACCGGCGTTGCGGGGCACGCAGAGCAGAGGTAGAGACGGGAAATGGAGCTTCAGTCAGTGCTTCAAGTCATTGCAAGGTGACCAGGTGCAGCTTTCAAGGGGGAAAATGGCATAGCGAATGTAGGACAAAGTCCTCTGACTGACGATCCTGACTCCCATGTACATGCCAGCTGCGGGGGGTTTGCCAGTTTGCAAAACTGCTGCAGCCTTGTGTTGGAACAGACTGCAGAGTGTCTCTTTTTGTGTTTTGTTCGCAACCAGCGGGTTCAGATGTCCCTTGGAACGCGAGGTATGCAGCAGAAGGGTTGGCTGCATGGAATGTTAGAATGTTGCGTCCACGTGATCAGGTTGAATCCTTGTGAGCTATTCCATGCAGCACGCCACGGGGAAGTGGCACAGTTTTTTGTCACAGCCTTGCCAGACGTGCATCGCCGGATGCAACTATTGTTCCTGTGCATACACAAGGAGAGCGCATGCAAATTGCTTGACTCCTTGTCGAGGGCGGGCAGATGGGTCTTGACAAGTCACTCGGCTTTCTCTCGGTTTCTTCCGGATTTGATTGTTTTTGGGTTAGCTGCAGCTTGACACACAGGTTCTCACAAGTTTCCATGGAGCTCTTGTTTTGCAGTAAAATGTTGCTTTGGATTCTGGATCGCTTTGCGAGCGCAGCTTGGTGGCTGGACTCTGTAGGTTGCAGGCATTTGGCTCCAGGCTCGATTTTCCTGGGAGCCAGGCCTCGGCGTATGTCGCTGGGCCGAGCGAGCTTGTTGGGGTGAGGCTTTGCTTGCCAGTTATGAGCTTATTAACGGCTGAAACCCGGGTGAAAATGGGCCCGGGAAAGCCCGTTGTTTCCTGCCTCGTGTTCGGAGCAACTCTGCAATGGCTGGTCCTAAGGTCATTTGAAGCGAGTTCCGTGGCGAGATGATACGAGGCCTTCTACTCCTGTGGCTCTCGACGCATTGGATCAAACGCTTTGTTCCGACCCCGCTCTGCCGCGACCCCGCTCTGCCGTTTTCTCCTCCTTCAAATGATTTCGGTTCAAGCAGAGGCTTCCAGTCTCCCTCAGGTATTTGCGCGTTGCCCTGTCCGCCCGCTTGGGTGCGGACGGTCACTCTGCCAGTCTTGTAGATGATCTCCCCGCGCTGAAGCTGGTGATCAACTCCAACAAGTTCTATGTCAGGCTCGACCAAGTGGGAAGATGGTGGACCGAGCGGGAACAGGATGCTGGATTTGTGTTGTGGTCGCTGCTGCATACTCGGCCCATTCACCTCAATTTCTAAAGCCTTGAATGACTGCTAGGGGTGGTAACTACTTCTGCAAATTTGGATCATAAGGAGGTGGGGGCCAAAGCAAATGCAGGCTCTCTTTCTAGACCAAATGGTTGAGAAACCCCTATGTCCTCCTATTGTGACACACGCCATTCCAATTGTGGGGAAAAATAACAATGTTGAGCTCTTCGTCAGTCTTGGGCCTCCGACTTGCTCGTGCGTCCTGGGTATTTCTGTGTCTGCAGGCCCCGTGAGATGCTGATGGCCTCTATGAAGGCGCGGTGCTGGGGCGAGTTGCGACTAGAGCTTTCATGAGCTCTCCCAAGATCAAACCAGTATTTCCTGACACGGAGGAATCCTCTTTTGGATGGGCAGGGAAGGCAAAAGGAAAATCCACCCTTCGGTCACAAGGTCCAAGTGACTCGCGCTGACACCACTCAGATCTAGAGTCGATGCTTGGCAGTGTGCGGGTCCTGGAGGCGGCACGATTCCGAAACTTTTCCAACGTGATATTGGTCGTTGGCGGCGCACAGAAGGATCAGGTGCGCTCCGAACCGACGTGTTGGTGCCAGCAGCATTCGATCCAATCAACTCAACCACATGTGACAATTGACGTAACGAGTGCCCCATCTGAATTGACTCAGAAAAAAGGGTATTTAGCCTTCAACGGCAGTCGGAAGTGGAAGCTGCGACTTGAGAGCTGAACTCCAGGCCTTTTCTGTTCGTGAGGTGCTCAAAGACGGCGAGTTGACTGTGGCGGGGCCCTCAGTCGAGAGAATTGAGTCAATCAACTGAGTGATGCGGAGGGATGTGGGAAGTAAGCGGGTGGGCCTAAATTTCGAGACATTCATGTTTCGTGCAATTTAAACGCAACTAGGCAACACTTCGCACCGCATTCCTAACATGCATGAGGTCCTTCAAGCTTTTTCGACTTAGGGCTGAGGCGGCTGAGGCGGCTGAGGCGGCTGAGGCGGCTGAGGCGGCTGAGGCGGCTGAGGCGGCTGAGGCGGCTGAGGCGGCTGTTTGTTTGCTTGTTCCCGTCGTCTCGGTAGGTGGAGACGAGCTTCATGAGCTTCGACCTCACCGCCCTGTCGGTGCTCTGGCACTACCGCCACCATCCTGCGGTCAGGGCCCAGGCGATGGCCTTCGGTCGATTTCGGCCGATTTCGGAGTTCGGAAGTTTGGAAGTTTGGTCTCCTCAAGCATGTCCGATGTCAGATGGTCCCAAGTCAGGGCTTTGACTCTTGTGACCTTTTGCGCTTCGATAGCCTGTTCTATAGTAGTGATTACATGGGGTCCACAATGGTGAGCAAAAACAAATTGTGCCTTGTGCCAGGCTTGTTGTCTCTCTCGGTCGTCTGGCCAGGCATATCTATACTTGCTGGATACAACCACCGTTGGCATTGCCTTCCCGGAGAAGTTTCAGAACTTTTCCACCGAGCCTTGGATTCCGACAGCATACCCCTGGTTTCTTTGAATACCCTCAGCGAGAAAGATTTTGAGGGAACTGGCAGGCAGATCGGTTTGACTGACAGACTGACTGACCAACTGACTGACTAGCTGGCTGACTATTTACCAGATCCTTAGGTGCTGGACACCGGGTCAAACTATCCACTTGAAAGGGTCCCCAGGTGTGACAAGAAAACTCTGAGTGTCCACAAAAGGTGACAAGAAAACTCTGATTCTCAGATGGCGGCATCTAACGACTGTAACTGGCCTTCCTTGCAGGTGGAGCGGGTTGGATACTGGGAGTATCGAGCACCTCCAATCCCGCAACGTGGCTGCATGGAGGAAGGGAACTCGTCCGCAGGCGAAAGCTGTTGTCAAGGCCAATCCAGTGGGTTTCGTGTATCATGGGCGTATGAACCTGGACATTCAGCTTGTGTTTGGAAGCGCACGGCTTGGAAGCTCCCAGGGGTTCCAACATCTGCCTGTTCGGCCGCGGCGTAGTTGAGAGCCCCTCGCCTTGAATAGCGCTGCATGCACCGTGCAGCTCGGCCGCTTACACCTGGGAGGCGACTGGGAGGTGTGAGCTGAGGCTATCAGACGAACTTTGATACCGCCCTTGCGAAGCAGGAGGGTAAGAGCAACGAGGGGGAGTGAGCCAGGGAGGTCGTAGGGGAAGAACGCAGGTTGAAACGGGGGGAGAGTTCTTGGTATCCAACACTAACTCTTGCTCGAGGAATGGGCCTCCGGGCAGGGCGAAAGGAGGTGCTACTTCTGGATGCTGGTAAAATCGCATTGGCATTGTGCAATCTGTTGCCCACTTCGAGTATTGTGGTTGAGTTGGGGTTTGACCCGCGCGTATCTCTGCTGGGGCAAGCTATTGGTGCAGTCAGCATCTCTACCATCCTCTTTGCGTAAGCTGCAGGAAGGGCTTTTGTTCGAGCATGGTCATTCCCCTCATGGGGTACATCAGCTGCAGCTCTTCGCCTACAACGTCACTAGATTAAGAGCACCTCTGGCTGAAGCTTCAGGCTCTTGCCTGCGTGCTAGAACATGTGAAGGGATGGGTCACTTGCATACAACTTGCTTTCTGCTTCCAATTGGTGGACAGAAGCGCTTGGTTTTCTCCGGCGCTGGCTTTCTGTGGACAACTCGCTCACCCGAGGCCAGAGTGGAGCACGGGGATCCCGTAGATCTCTATGAGACTGGATATTCCCGGCGTGTATTCTGGTATCCTGACATAGTGCGCAGTCTGCACGTAGCGTTTGCTGCGCCCAACACCCAACTGCAGGCTAACTTGAGGGGGCTTATTGCCTCAAGATGGACATGAGACATCCGAGGATGTTTTCAAGTACATCCTCTGGGACAAAACTGGCGATCTCATAGGCGGGCCCTGAGTCGCTTGCCGAAGTGGTTGTGCTCAAGACCGGATCCGCTTTGGGCAGCGCTAAAAAGGATGCTGCGATACCTTTCACAAGCTACCAATTAAAACATGCCAAGTCGCCTGGGCTTCAAAACCGCATTTGGGTCTGGTGCTGAAGTTTGGGGCTGCGCCTTTGACGATTTGAGCAGCGAGTGTGGAAAACGCACCGCGCTCGCGGAGGTCATATCCATTCCTTGGACAACGTGCAGGTTGTTGCGGATAGCAAAGATGAAACGTTCTACTGGGAGACTCTTGGCTTGGCTCAGACGGCTTTCGC